GGGACGCTGCGGGGTCGCTGCTCCTGCCGGGCCCGGGCAAGAGGCGTGTGGGGCCGGCTAACGCCAGCACAGCCCCCTCACGCGGAGGATGTTCCCCTGCTTGCTGCGGGGCAGCCCCAGCAGGGGGAGCCCCGCTTCGCCTTCCCTTCGGCCGCGTCTGAGGTGGAGGCGCAGATCCTCCGCGGAGGTTTATGCTCTGTGGTGGGGAGATTCTCCTCCTCCATGTAGCCTTCAGGTTCACTTGGGCACTGGAGGAGTGGGTGTGATGATGTCCTGGAGCCAGGTTTTGGGTCCCTGTACTGGACAACAGGCAGAGGAGGAGCAGGTGTGGGAGAGGTGTGGGTGCTGTGCTGATGGGACAAGGCGTGGGTATCGCTTATGTCTGCAGTGGGGCCCACTGTCACAGACTTTGACATTCTCTCTTGTTTCTCCTGTTTTCCACCAGGGAAGGGAAACTACTGGACCTTAGATCCCAACTGTGAGAAGATGTTTGACAATGGGAACTTCCGTCGCAAACGCAAGCGGCGCTCTGAGCCCAACGCCCCCGCGGCCGCGTCTGCGGCCTCCTCTCTGGGAGGCCTAAAGGCTGAAGAAGAGCGACCCATCCCAGCGGCGGGCAAACCGTGTGGCAGCAGCCCACCCCCCGAGCTGGACCCCTCGCCTTCTGCCAGGGACCATCCAAAAAGCTCCTCTCCCTCCGGTATCATTTCATCCACCCCTAGCTGCCTCAGCACCTTCTTCAGCGGCATGAGCTCCCTGAGCGGAGGGGGCAGCCGGCTGACAGGGGGCCTCGGCAGTGACCTGCATCACAGGAACTTCTCTGCAGGACAGCTGAGCAGTGGCACTTTCACCCCTTCCAGCAGCTCTTCTCAGGAGGTGCCTTCACCAGACCAGCTGCAGCGGGTTGCGGGACCTTCCCCCGCCTACTACAGCTCCTTCCATCCCAGCAGCAGCAGCCAGGGAGCCCAGTACAACCACTACTACAACTTCACCGTTAACAGCCTCATCTACACCCGGGATGGAACGGAGGTGTAGGATGCTGAGGCAGTCGACCGGCGAGCGCTGCAAAGGGAATGGGAGTTGCAGGTGTGTTTGGCAGCACGGAGGACCATATGCTTTTGCAAACAGCATTTCAATGTGGACGCTTCCCAGGAGTTCTTCCAGGAAGACAGATCTTCTCACCTTTCGAAACAAGAACACCCCTTAAACACCAGCAGAAGGCAGATGCAAAGTCTTTTCCCCGTCCTGGAAAATGTTAGGGGGTTTAGATGGCTTGCCATCTAAATTCTGCAGACGAAAGCGAACTGAATTAATGTGCTCAGAGGTTTCTAATCCTGAATGTAGAGTAAGAAGCTTAAAAACTATAACCATAAAGCGCTATCAGCCAGAGCCAAGTGTAGACATCCAGTGAGTCTTAGAAGAGAACAGGAAAAAAAAAAATGAAGAGATTTCTTATGAAGTGCCTTGTACAATGTATTAAAAAACTCTTCTGCCAGCAATTGCCTCTGTCAGCCCTTGCTCTCTGCCCTGGCCCTGCAATATGCAATGCACGGGGATACTCTGGGTAAATGCCCACCCAAAAACCTCCTCGAAACCCACGGAGGTTTGCTGTGGTCTTCCTGTGCACGGCGTATCGTACAGCCAGGGCCGTCTCTTGCGAAACAATCTTCTTCCCTGAGCTTAGTACCAAAGATAACTCTAGCCATGCAGCTTTAGCACGAGAATAAACACTGGGGTATTTTTATACTTATTTGTACGTAATGTAACTCTCCTGTACATATGTTTCTATGTGGTTTTATATTTGTAAATTATGCTCTGGAGCTGTACTTATTTATAACGTGTTTTAAACTTTGTTAAAGTTTATTTTACTTCGTTTCCCCTTGGTTGTTTTTTTTTTTTTGGTCATTTTATTTGTTTTGAATTTTTTGTTGGTTGTGTTTTTGTTCGTTAGTGTATTAATGAAACTTTTCAGGCTGAACAGCCGTTGGGAATAAAATGTTAACGATTGTTAGATTTTTTTTTTTTCCTGGTTGTTCCTCAGTATGTTTGAGGTATTTTAAAACTCTGTGGGAGACAGGTTTTGCTTTCCCGTGGTTTGGGATAAAAGGTGCAAAGATTTATGAACAATTTCATCTGCACAGAATGACAGAAAAAGCCTGCTCTGGGCCCAAAGGGGACGCATCTGAGCTGGTTTGCCGTCTCTCACGGCCTCACTGTGCAGAGTGGGCACTCTGGGCTCTCTTGTTTGTTTGTTTTTGTTGACGGTCTGAATGACAGCTGTCCTTTTTCAGCCTGGTTTAGTAAAGAAAAAAAAACCACATAAAAGCTTGCAAAAGTAGGAGACGTGGGGCTGGTTCCAGCGTGGTACTGGCCAGCAGGAGGTACGAAGCCTGAGCTTGACGCTTGGCTCCATCCGCTTTGCAAATCAGTTTTTGCGAATAGGATTGCGCCTGCTTAAAATGGCCGGCTGGTTGAGAAGTTGGAGCAGTCAGCTAGCGGGCCGAGCGGCCGGCTGCTGCAAACGGGCTTTCCTGAGAATCCTTCCTGGAGTGTGCTGCTGGAGAAGGAGAATCCATCCTCGAGCAGCCATTACGTGAAAAGATCCACCCCCAGTCCGTGCCCTTTGCAAAAGCTGGTTGTGGGGTGCTGTGTGCGGGTAGCACATAAATATACATGTCTTCGTGAGGAATGTAGCATCAGTAATGATGTTGAGCATGAAATTGCAGCTATTTAACATATATGCGTCTGCCCATGATGTAAGGCCATCCCTGCAGGCTACTCGGACAACAAAATCGTTGGCAGCCCGATGCAGCGCCTCTTCGCTGGCTACCTGCATAGCACGCAGGGTAGTGATGCAAGACAAACCGCTGGCCTGATCCAAAATATAATGAAGCCATGACGAAACGTCAGATGACTTCCATGTGCTTGGGATCGGGACCAAGTACTTTCCCCACCACTGGCCAACCGCCATTTGTGCAACAGCTGAGCCCCGTGGGCGGGTGGCAACTCCCGCCTCGTCCCCCTCTCGCTCACCCCTTCCCAGCACAGATACCATCTTCCTGGCTTTAGGGGTAATTCCTCCATGTCTTGATTTTTAATTGCATCTCAGGTGATGCAGTGGTAGCAATAATGGGAGGGAAAGGGCAGACTGCCACTAGCAAAAAGACAAGATGGTCAGTCTTGTCCTGCTCGAGTTCAGTAGTCACACCAGCTGTGGAATAGCTTTGCGTGGAGTTTGGAGTGCTGAATTCAGTCTGAAAGCGGTGGAGGGATTCCCAACACCTTCCAAAGATTTAGAGCCAGCCCTTAAATAAGCCAGGAAGTGCCTACTCCCGTGTCTAAATGACCATTGCACCCCTTCTCTGCTCCACCAGCCTGATGTCAGACCTAAGCAAGTGGTGGGCCAGTGTGGGACACCTGCATGTGTCCAGCTCGTGTTCTTCCAACCCAGATTTGTTTCAGGATTTACCCCCTGCCACTTCCATCAGCTGTATGTTTCTGCAGACAGTAGCCATAAACGTTTGCTCCCGAGGATCCCGAATCAGTGGCAAATTTGTGTTGCTCTGTGGTCTGCCTCTGGAAGTATGTCCTCAGCAAATGCCCCTTGGCTCAACAGACCTTCTCGTGCCGCATTGGTTGGATGGTGGCACAGCCAGAACCTGCCAGAGCAGAGCCAGGGAAGGATTCACCCACCACAGAGCTCCAGTCCCGCTCCTGCGGGATGGTGGTGGGCCCTAGGGAGGTTTTGGCAGGTCTAACTGTCACCAAGCGCACCTTTCCTGCCACCAGCACCAAATCCCACTCCCTCCAGAGAAAGTGAGCCCTTAGCCGGAACCAGAGGCTGTGGCCCCTCCTGCGAACCCACAACCCAACCCCAAAGGCTGGTGGGCTCATGATAAAGCAACCTGCCCAAGGGACACTGGAGAGTAGATTTCAGCAAATAGACACCTAGTCTGCAGAGAGGAGCCAAGCCAACGACCTAATGGCAGCCTTTTAGGGTTCCTTTTGTCATGGAAATAGACTCTTCTTTTAGCAAACCTTGGGAGAGGGAAGGCAAGGCGATTGAGCTTAATGAAAGGCACTTAAAAGCAGCAGGGCTATTGTCATGGGCTTTGGGGATTTACTGTGATGCCCCCATTAAAGGAGGGGGAAGACAAAGGCAATTAGCCTGCTGGTCCCACCCTGAGAGTCCCCACTCCCCTCTAAATGCCAAGGCCATGCCTGGGATGGGCAGTTCTCCATGACAATGAGCCTCTTCCCAGCCTGGGTCAGGGGATATAGCCCAGCAGCCCAGGACATAGCCTGCTCCCAGGGAAGTCAGTGGAGAAATGTCCTTCCCTTGGAGAGAGGCTCAAACTTCAGGCCTCCATCCTCTCTGCTCTGGCAGCCATAGGAATCACCCTGTAAAATGACTTCTGCTGGCTTTGAGGGAGCAGTGATCTCATGGGCAGTAGTTGGGAGCCCACAGATCCCGGCTGCTGGATGCTAAAGCTAAGCGTCGCAGGAAGTCTCATCTTTGCTTGGTTTCTCCACTCTTTCTAGGCATCTAGAAAGATGCCCAGTTGCGGTGGCATCTTTCTAGGCATCTAGGCAACTGGGCAAGACTGATGCAGCGCAGCGGTACTCGATATGAAACCATGGTCGCGCTGATGACCCCAAGTGCAACTGCCTGGTACCTCCGTCCTGCACTGCCCGTACCCTCTGACATTCCCGGCCAGGGACTGTGGCTCTTCCAGCTGAGGGTTGCACACACAATTCCTGAAAAAGGCAGTCCCTGCTGGAAAAGAAGTACAGTCCAAAGGCATTTCAAGAGGCGCGTTGGATCAGTAACACAGATGCTTGCTGGCTTCTACGTGTGGCACTTCTCCAGCACGGGGTCGTTTAACTTTGCTCAGTGCTGGCCTTATCGACATGCCAGCAAAGGTTCAGGCAGGCACCCACTGCAGGTCTGCACTTGAGCTGCTCCACGTTACAAAGGCTTTGCCAGTACAGCTGGATCAGCCCAGTCCCCTAGAGGAGACCCAGCTCCCATCAACAAAGGAAAGTCTTGTGCCAGTGAAGTTAAACCCCCCACCCCCAGCAACACCAAGCATATTGCGGGGCGGTGGGAGGGGATTCAAGAGGCAGAACACAGCCATCCACTCTGGGTTTCATCGCCCGCCAACTCTTTTGGAAATAGGGCTTCAATTACTGCCACTGGCCATGGACTGTGGTTTGCATCTCCTCTGAAGGAGGAGGCTTTTGATTTGCGCTGTCGCTCACCAAGTCCATGAAAGTTGGCCACAGTAAGTTGTGCCTGTACAAGGAGGTTTTATTGCCTTTGTTACGCTCATTTAGGGTGATTTTTCCCTGAAATCTTTAGGAATAGTTCAAAAGAAGTAGTAGGATTCAAGGAAACTACCGCATGGATAGCCTGCCTTTGCCCTCACTGTATTTCTAGCAACGGAAAATCTTCATCAGACTTCTTGAGGCCTGACTTTGAATGCGACATACCTGAATCCTGTCCTGCTCGTTCACGGGAGGTGGTCCTGTCAGTCTCATCCTGGTAGCACATAAAATAAGAGGGCCAAAGCCTCATTTTGTAGCTTGACCCAAGAGAAGCAAGATGAGACTCAGACCTGGCTGATGGTACATGGATGGCTGATGCCTCAGCTAGAAATAGCTGTGCCAGATGGAGACGGCAACTGTTGGGAAATTGTTGTTTCTCCTTAGGCTTTGGCAGAAAAAAAAGAGTGGTTTTATTGTCCTGTTAGAAAATCCCTCTCCAAAACAGATTTTTGTTCCCGATTATTTTTTTTCTCTGATTGCTGAAAGAAGAAAAACATGGATTTACCTTTTCTTTTTCCTTCTTTTTGGCAGGAATTTCCATCAAGTTAAACTCCCCCCCACACTTTTTCTATTAAAAAGAAGGTTGATGGAATGTTTTTGACCAAATTACCAAGCCCAATATTCACCTGGGTAAGGTGACGAGAATTTGCCCCTCAAGGAATAACTGAAGTGTAATGTAAAACATCAAAGGGGCTATTTTTTTTTTT